CCCCCTCCCGCACCCCAACCCCGAATTTTGTGAGCATTCATGGCCCGCCATACAATTTCTATACCCAGATGTGGCCCTCGGGCCAAAAGGTTTGCCCACACCTGACCTACAATCTGAATCTGAGACCTAGTAATTGGAAAAATTGCCTTGTTGCGTCCTCCATTTCACTTTTGATCCAACTGTTAATTTCTATTTAAAAACGTGTCTTCATGGATGTCATCTGGAGTTTAACATCTATTGGGGCACACATCCTTCCCAAAATATGCTATATTTCTTAAAAGAGCAGTAAATTGGCCTTTGACTATGGCTTCCCAGAAGGTGGCCTCCAATAAGCAAAAGATATTTTAATAACATGGCACTATGTCAAATCCCCATTTTGCACATGTGAAATTTCACGATACAATTTCAGAGTCCAATTGAAAATTTGGCCTAGAGTGGATAGATTTTCAAGTTAATTTCAAAGTCTGTTATATTTAATAATTAACATTATGAACCTCTACTGAATCAGCAGCCACATAAGGAATAAATCAAGTATCAGAGGGGTAGCCGTGTTAGTCTGAATCTGTAAAAAGCAACAGAGGGTCCTGTGGCACCTTTAAGACTAACAGAAGTATTGGGAGCATAAGCTTTCGTGGGTAAGAACCTCATTTCTTCAGATGCAAGTCATGCTCCCAATACTTCTGTTAGTCTTAAAGGTGCCACAGGATCCTCTGTTGCTTTTTATAAGGAATAAATGTTATACAGTCTATTTATGTTATGAAAAACTCGTACCTTAAAATTAAGGTATATCAATTGTCACTTGTGAGCACCATCATCAGATATTGAATACAATTTTCACAGTATGATAGATGGGCCTGTTTGTTGCTTGGAAATGGCCTGAATCATTTTTGCTGAAAACTGGTCAATTTGGAGGGCTATCTTTTGGCTTTAACACATGCAAACTTAGGAGAATTTTCTGAGAAATTGGCCCTGTTTGTTAGTTTGCAGCAGAATGCAAAAAACACCGTGGGCCAGGGTCATCTGGTGTTTGGGAGGGCTTCAGCCAGTGAAAATTCAGGAGCTTGGTGGCAGAAACTTTGACAAAAGGAAGAGGTAGCAGAAAATGGCAGCAAACATCCCTTCCTCAGAAGGCTCTTAGAAGGTCAGTGCAGCCCAAAAAGTTAACTGTGTTTGCCAGGACAGGGATGTTGCCTGGGGATGCCTTGATTCAGTGCCTCCCTCTGCCACCTTCACCATTAGAGTGCCTCTATAGTGTCAACTGCTAAGGAAAGCTGGCCTCCTGCTCTCTCAGCAGAAGGCCTGTAAAAAGGGCAGCAGTGGTGACATCAGGGTGGTAACAGCTATAATGTATTCCTCGCCGCTTCACTTTTGGTAAATACAACCTGATCAGTTGAGCATGTCTGCATTTTGTTGTGAATAAGCCACATTCCTCTACTTAACTAGAAATCCAAAGGATATTAAATTGTATCTGTGCGATGTGGATACGTTTACACTGTTGTAAGAACTTTAATGGTTTAACTTCCTTTATTGATATTAATACAATGTCCAGTAATTAATTTCCACAGTTTTTTTTCATTTACTTACATTAAATATTGAGATTACCATAGCCATCCAATGGAGTTTTTTAATGGATGAATCATAAAACATTGAATAGTTTCTTGTGTATTTTGAATGTGCAAAGCTGCTACAGAGCATGGAGAATGTTTCAGAATTGATCTAGAGAACACCTGACAAATTAAAACTTCAGATGCAGTCACAGACAGTAATTTGTCAGGGCTTAAACTCCTTGGGTGAAATCCTGGCCCAATTGACAACATTGGCAAAGCTCTCATTGACTTCAGGAGAGCCAGGATTAGGCCAGCATTACTCCCTGGAGTGCTGAAGTAGTGAGCTGACTTGCGGTTTGTAATAAACAACCATCTACTATGCAACCGTCCATTCAATCTGACCTGTCTTTCTCCTTTTCATAATTGATATTTTATTATTTCTGTTAAAAATACAATGTTCGTTCATTGTAATGATTACAATTCAAAAGTCAGCACATGAATTAGAATGAATAAATCAATTTAATTCACATTATGATGAAAATATGAGGAATGATGAGCCTAGTAACTTATTGCAAGATGCTATATAGACTATTAATGGTACATTCACAGAGGAATAGGAGTGGGACATATTCTTGTCCACAGTGAAAACTGACTGGAACAAAATAAGACAAGACTGAAAAGAACAAGACAAAGTATAAGTAAATAAGACAATACAAGACAAAACAAAACTAGCTGGAACAACTCTAGTTCAATGGTTGTGGAGGAGAGGAGAGTTATACAAGATAATTTCCCCTTATTATTTAGTTAAACTCCATTTCTTATGATGGCACCAAGGTAAAAGACTAATAGTTCTGATTAAAGAAAAACATGGCTGAGATATCCAGAGGTATTTTGTATTACAGGGCAAACTTCCCACCTCCCCACTGCAACTGTTAAGGTTCCTTTCAGTACCTCGCCTGTGGTCCCTGTTTATCCATTGTTAGGCACCTCTCTCCCCCTTCCCAGCTTTTAACTAAAGATATTTAGCTCTGCTAAATCATGAGCTAGACAACCTAACGAAGGAAGGTTGAAAGGGCTAAACGAATAGTATGTGTGACCTGAGGCACTTCTGAGCATGGCCCACTGGAGGTGAAAGGTTAGTAACTTAACCTACTCTTGCAGCTATACAGAGAAAAAACTATAACCTTGAAAACACCTGAGAGCAGAAAAGGTAATATTTATGAAATAATTACATGCAGGATGAAAGAAACTGCTCCCTCCAGTCAGTGGGAATAGAAGGTTGGTTCCAGTTAATGTGAGTTAACTAGTTGTGAATTCTAACATGCACACTCACAAATATTTGTAAATCTCCATGCAAACACTCCCAAAAGTATGTTCTGGATCCTAGCTTATCCTGGGGGCTCAGCCTAGGGCAGTAGTTCTCAACCTGTGGCCCAGTCAGCACACAGCTGCGGCCGATGTGACATCCTCAGGGCCATACAGGTAGTACTGGATGCAACCCACATAGCAAATTGTGGAGAACCACTGACCTAGGGTGAACCATGACTAGGAACAAATGTTTATCTCCTGGAACAAACTATTGTGGAATATCTACAGTACACTAGAATTTACAGTTGTGTTAGTGAACTTGAATTACTTGAGCTAAATCATGTTGCTGAAGTTGCAGTATGAACAAGACAAACCCTATGAGAATGCACTGAGAAGGTTAGGGATGGATCAGAGCAATTGTGGAGGGATGGCCAGTAAGTCCATAAATGGTGTTAATCCACTGTCTGAAACACCTGTGAGGGTGGAAAGGAAACATAGCAAACTGTGTCCTCTAGTACAGTCTAAAAATACTATGCTAGCAACTATGAACTGTCCATTCAAATACCATGTTCCCACTTTTAGGATGTCTTGGCAAATGTAGCACAAAATTACATTGGAATTTTACAGCTGTATCACAAGCTCATATGTCCAGGATCATTCTTGGCTCTCTTACAGCTCTGGTGCTTGCAAGATATTTTATTCCCATACTATCTATATTTAAGATTTTTTTTCCTGGCTGTATTAGCTTGCATTTTTCCAAGCAGAATCCCCTCCCAATTTAGTATAGTCTGCAAATTTCATTGGTGTGCTGTTTTACTACCTCTTCTAGATTATTAAGAAATGTGTTAAATCAGACGGGTTCTAGCAGTGCTCTGCACAGTTCTCCACTACACACCTTCCCTCCAACTTAATATATTGGCATTGATCACTACATTTTTTGTGCTCTTGTTTACAACAGAATTGTGTTGCTCTTGTGGGCATTAACTTTTGTGCACCACCGCACTGAATCCACTCTCTCCCACATGTGGCTCTTCCAGTTGGTTAGTGAGCATTTGATAGGGATATTAAATCAATAGGAATTAAAATAATTCAGTCAATTCATGCTTCCTTTCCAGGGCAACATCTGGGGAAGTAAAATAGGATCCTTAATAGGGAGCAAGAAAGATCGTGATTCCAGGAAGGCAGGACTACAAGTCCTGCAGCCCAAGGCAACAATGCTAATTTTGGCTCAAAACTGAAATTTCACTTGTCCAATCAGATGACAGGTGCATCCTGGTGACTACATAGCATCACTACCCTGATAACTAAACTCTGAAGTCAACACTCTGCTAAGATGATTGAGGAAATTCATACCTCATTTGGTGGTGTTGTTTCAGTCTCTAGCTGCAGACTCAACCAGGCAAGCATGCATTAGTTTACATTGGCAAGGATAACTTTGCATACAGAATGGTTAGAAAATGAAGGTTTAATTCTGAGCAGCGCTGAGTCCCTCATATCGGTCATTGATTGTAATGCACATTTGTCATATTGAGTTTTCATCCATAAATATTAAAAAACAGGGTTAGGTAAATACTATAGGGCCTGGGGAAGATGTGATATTGTATTAAAGGCACGGAACTGGGTATCCGAAGACCCCAAACAAACATTCCAATGGGTACTTGCATAGTATCGACCTAATAAGGGCTCAGTAAGAGGATAATGTCATAGTCTTGCAACTCAAAATGTCATCCAAAAAATCTTCTCACATCTTTCTTGGATGGGATTTTGGAGAAAGACAATGAAATGTTTTTTGAATTCTGCAGCTGATATCATTTATTTTCCCCCCTTCTTGCTAATATCGTCTTACTTTCTAGTACCTTTGATCAATTTGGGCTGGGGTTTTCAAAGGAACCTATAGGATTTAGATGTCCAAATTCCAGCTTTGGATAAGAAAGGACAAGTCATTCATTCTTGCAAATTTCTTAAATGTTCGTACACATTTCCAAGTGTAATGTGAAGAATAATATCCGGTGTGTGTTGTGATTCTAACAATGTTACCTCTCTCTTGTTACCAGGGTTTTCCAGGTGACTTTGGAAACAGAGGCCCCCCTGGTGCAGATGGGAATCCTGTAAGTGTCAAATTGTGTGTGTGACTTTGCAATTTACAATATGATGGTATTAAAATGTGTCCTTGATCAAACCTGTCCAAAAACCAAACAAACCCCTTGAAAAGAAGGAGAGATTCAATGAAGTCCACTAGAAATTTGCTCTTGCTCTTGATTTTACATTGAAGGTGCTCAGATAAGCGAGAGAGTTTCTGAAAGCTGCTGAATGTGGCTGGCTCCCATTAGGAGCTGCAGATGCTCAGCACCTTTCAGGATCAAACTCTTGCCTGTTTAAGCTAACTAAAGAAATCTGCATTCTTGCTAAAATTCTTAGTGACTAGGGCCCTAGGACATGACATTGCATTGATATGATTAAACTACAGTTCCAGGGTCTCTTAAAAAGGGGATATTCTGAAGTTGTTTCTCAGGAAACTGGCTTTAGTATGTTCAGGTATTTACTAGCTTTGAACTATTACTGAATAAGCTTCTGGACCTGTCTTTTCCTCATCTGTCTTTTTTAGTAACTCAGCATTAATAGGGCAGCTGCTCTTTCTTTGGCAACACCTTTTCAGAATAAAGTGCTCTGATGATGCAGTAATCAAAACCTGTGACAGTCATCATGTCATTGTTTCAGTACTGACTTCAAAGGAGCCTCTCTCTTGGCCTGTTCTTAGTTGACTCTGGCTGCAGCTCTTAGCTTTGGATTCCCCTGGCTTGGAGGAGCCCCCCATAGATGTAGAACTAGTTCCTCCACCACTCTTCCCATGGTCCCTGACACAATGAACAGGGAGTAGGAGTGGCCAGATTGCAGCTGTTCTCAGCTGATGGATGTTCCCTTGGGAAAGATGGGCAGTTAGTGCCTATGGGCTACTCTAACCTGGATTTATAGATTCATAGATTCTAGGACTGGAAGGGACCTCGAGAGGTCATCGAGTCCAGTCCCCT